ACAGTTCTCTCTGAACAGGAGAGGTTGTCTGAAGTCAAATCAACTCCATGGAAAAATGACTAATTTTTTATTCTGGAAGAATAAATATGATTTCCAAGACTTGTGCCTTATAGAGTTTATGAATTAGGTATTAGGACAGTGGTTCTCAACCTACCTAATGCTGCAACCCTTTAATACAGTTCCTTATGTTGTGGTGACCCCCCCAACCATAAAATTATTTGCATTGTTACTTCAAAACTGTAATTTTGCTACGGTTATGAATCAGGTGACTCCTGTGAAAGGGTCATTCACCCCCCAAAGGGGTTGAGACCCACACGTTGAGAACTTCCGTATTAGGAAGTGAAAATGTACTTGTCTTCTTCCTTGGGTAATTTACATGCTTGTTTAAAGATTCATTTCTTTACCTTTGGAATTTTCGCTAAGCCAATCAGTATCTTAATAAAGATTTCCTGTGAATACAAAATCGTAGCACTCACATGAGTAAAATGATTAAAATATCATGCTATGATTATAGCAATGCAAATATTTTTAAATTAACATGATGTATTTAAACTATATTTAACCAGTATGTAGTATCAGCAGTCCAAAATTTATTTTTTAAGTTCCCATGGAGGAAATGAAATCAATTATCTGGGTATATAAAATAAATAAGCACACGTTTGGTCAGGTTTCACTTGGAAATATAAATGTAGAGAGTAATATTGTATACTACTTTAGAAATTTTAGCTACAGTGACTTTAACAGGCAATCTCATGATACTGGCTTGGAATTTACATTTCATCTCTTGACAACATAATAGGTAAAGCAGAGGTCCAACAAAAACAGAGGATGCCCTTGATACGATGGATGGATACATTAGCCGTAACATCTCCAGTGTGTCCCCGGGATCAAGAATATACCATAGGCCGGAGCAGGAGGTCATTCCATTGCACATTGGTTGCCCTGAGAAGGAGCTAACACCAGCCTACTTAAGATAACAAGCACTTATCGTATTCTTGGAATGTGCAAAACTTGGCATCATCAAAAGACTTTCACCATTCAGTATCAAAATTGAAAATCTATATGACATATCAGAGAATCTCAGAATTTTGAAGCTTCAAC